TTCATCACTTTTTTGACGGCGCGAGCGAGCGCTTGCTACCAGCCCCTGGGATTGCTAGGGATATTCTCTAGTCAATCTAGAAGTCTAGGGAAATTCTAGGGATCCGTATTATGACTACTTGTAACCTCTAGAGCTTCGGCGCCACTGAACACGCTACTATTGAGCGAAGATGAGTGGACGTAAGCTCGCTCGAGGTATCGCGGGCCTCGGTGCTGTCATCGGAGGGTTGGGCATAGCCTACGGCATCACGCGAGGACGTGTGCGCCGCGGGAACGGAAGCGACGCAAAAACGGGAAGAAAGCGCCGATGCGCCGAGCAAACCGTGCCGCGAAAATCGATTCGCGTCGCGGAAGAAGCGGCGAACAAGCTCTTGGCGTTTGGTACGAAGCAATGGACGAAAGAACTCGCGGGAAAATGGTTCACGGATCAAGATGGTCTGCGCAAGGCTATCGCGAAGGTGCGCTACCAAAGGACGTCGTCGGAGTGGGTCGTGGACGCCGGGGACGCCCCGTGTCCGCTGTACACGGTCCTGGAGCTCGCCGAAGACGAGGAATGGTACAAAGAAGCGTACGGCGTCTTCAACAAGAAAAAATTCGGGTCGGGGGAGGCGCCGGGCGAAGGCGACCGCGTCACCAAGTTCTTCTACGACGGAGAAGCGTACGACGGCACCGTCGCCGAGGTCACGGTCGGGGACGTGCGGCGCCGACCGGGAGAGAAGGCGCGACGCATGAAGCTGTGGGACGTCGCTTTCGACGACGGAGATCGCGCCGGCCTTTCCGAGATCGAGGCCGTCGCGGCGAGGCGAGCGTTCTCGCGGCGGAACGGAGCGTCGGCTCGGTGAGGCGACGCATCGCGCTTCGGCCGCCGCGAGCTGTCGAGTGGATGGCGGTTTCCCACGCGTGCGAAAACATGGCGAACTAGACCGATTCTCCCTAAATCCATTTAAGAAGCATGGGCGTGGGAGCGGCGCTCATTCGCTCGCAAGCCGCCACGCCTTTCGAGCGGACGCGCCGTCGGCCTCTTAGGGCTTCCCCAAGATCTCTTTGAATGGTGATATACGACCAATGAAAAACGAGCTCATTTTGACGCCTCCGAAGCGTCGCCGTTCGCCGCGACCGCCGCGCGCGGAATCCCCAGGGAGACGCCGCCACCAAAGTCGCGTACGCTAGAAGCTACTAATTCAGTCGAAATTTGAGGACTTCAAAAGGTTCACTATGAGTCGTGCTTTGACAAGTCGAGATTCGGTCCTGCCAAAATGTCAGGGAAAGTCAATTGACATGCAGCTGTATAATGTTCATTCACGGGAAGGTGTAATATTTGGACGGATTTCAATTTAATGTATGACTGTGCCAACTCGCGTGCGAATGTCGATCCAAGCCGAATAGCACTGCAGTGAAGTGTTCATACTTATTGACATTTGCGAGCACTTCAACCCGCAATGGAAACAGATGGAATATTTTCGAGTGGCTGCGGGGGAGAAGCGCGCTCACTTATATAGGGGGTGGGACCCAAGGGCAGGCACTCCGCTCACCCAGCGGCACGGCGCGAGCTGCCCTCGCCGCGGTGCCGATCTCCCCTGGAGTGCCAGTGTGAAGCATCGCCGCCGCTGCCGCCGCGCGCCGCTTGCCAGTGGTGCATAGAAAACTATGGCGAGAAGTTCATCCAGAACGACATTAGTTGGACAAACGAGTGGATATGCCCAACGTGCCTTAAAGACAAAGAGCCAGAATGCCACGGGACGAAGCGCTACTGGCAATCGGAGGAATACAAATGTGCGAAGAAAGCGCGAATCGACGCAGAGACGCGCGCTGCTTTGGTCGAAACGACAAAGCGCGACATCCGAGAGACTTTGATGCCGGAGGGACGCAAGAGCGACCTTTTCAAGAAACTCATTGTCGACATCTTCGCCACCTCGGCTCCGGTCAAGGAGTTCATGGAAGAAGCTTTTCCACAACACGACGCTGAAGTGTTCACCGAGGCCATGAAGCACATCATCGCCGCGGACCACTTCAAGTGGGACGTCAAGACACTCTACCCCGACCCCAACCAGGAGTAGGCAGCTCAGGCCACGAGAGTGTCGCCCCATGTAAGCGGGATAGCTGCCCAGTTATAGGCCCCATTTGCCCGTTCATATTTATTTGCATTTATTTAGAGATTTATTTCCTGTCGCAAAAATATGGCACTTTTTTCATGTGGGGCCAGTGGCGAGGAGAAAAAAAGAAAAAAAAAAGAAAAAAAAGAGAGGCGCCGAAGGCGCCGAAGGCGCCGGAGGCGACGGAGGCGCCGGAGGCGCCGGAGGCGCCGAAGCCAGGCGGAGCGACGCGCGGACTCGTCCCGCCGACCCGTCTTTAAACCCCGCGGAATTATCCAGGCGGCGGCGACGCCGCGGCGCAGCGCCGCGCGGTCCTCGCGCGCGCGGTCGCGCCGCGGCGCGCGTGGTCGCGCCTGTCGGCGCCGCCGCGGCCGAGCGGGCCGCGGTGCGGCGGTGCGCCGCGTCGACGGCGGCGGCGGCGCGGCGGCGCTCGCCAGCGGCGGCAGGCGGCGACCGCGCGCCGCGCGCCGCGCCGCGCGTCGAGCGCCGCGGCCGCCGCAGCGAGCGCCGCGAGACTGCTGGACGCGGACCACGTGGCGCGCCGCCGTCCGCCGGAGCGCGCAGCGCGCGGCTGCGGCCCAGGCCGCGAGGCCCCGGCGGAGCCGCCTCCGCGCGGCCGCGGCCGCGGCCGCGGCCACGGCCGCGCGCCACGCGCGGAGCGCGCCGCCCGAGGCCGGCGCGACGTGGCGGAGGCACCGGAGCGCGGCCGCGCGAGGGCCCTCGACGTCGGCGACGCGCGCCTTCCACCAGCGGCCGAGCGCCGGCGCCGCGCCGCGGTGGAGCGCCGCGGCGCCCGCGGCCGCCTCCCAGCGCCGCCGCCACGCGCCGAGGCCCCGCGCGAGCCGCCGGCGCCGC